CAAAGTTCCCCCAGTTACTTATAAAGCTAAACCCCTTCTCCCTACACCATTATCTCATCCACGCATTGAGACTCTGAAGCTATGCCTGCCTACCTGGCCCTGCGCGTGGAACTGGAAGCATTTCCGAGAATGCCACCATAGAGGTCCTGGATTTCAGTCTCTTTCCTAGCAGCCTAAATTTTGCCTCCAGGACATCTTTGCTACCCTTCCCTATGTCATTGGTACCTACATGTTCCACGACCCCCGGCTCCTCCCCAGCACTACACATGAGTCGATCTAGATGCTTCAAGAGATCCACAACCTTCGCACCAGGCAGGCAAGTCACCATATGGTTCTCCCGGTCATCGCAAACCCAGCTATCTACATTTCTAATGATCGAATCTCCCATTACTAACAACTGCCTTTTCCTACTGACTGGAGTTCCCAGAGAGGTAACCTCAGTGCAAGAGGATACACCAACATCTGGAAGGAGGGTCTGCTCCTGTTGACTGCTCTCCTTCCCTGAGCCTTTCATCCTCCTTAACAGTGCAAGGGCTGTCTGACCGGAGGTGGGACAATTCTACAGTGTCCTGGAAAGCCTCATCTACGTACCTCTCGGACTCCCTCAGCTCCTCCAGTTCAGCCACCCTGGCCTCCACAGCCCGTACGCGGTCTCTGAGGGCCAGGAGCTCTTTGCACCAAATGCACACATACGCCACCCGCCCATAGGGCAAGTAATCCTACAAAGACTGGCAAGTGTACCTTGGCCCATTCCCAACTCCCTCTCAAAATTCCCTGTTCCTGTTCGCAAAGCTCCCTGGTCATTGACTCACTGCTTGATAAGCCCAGGCCTTCCTGATAGCCCCGCCCTCTGACTAAGGCTCAGCCGATTAACAGAGGCTTCTAGATTTCAAACCTTTAGGTGCATGCTTAATACCGCAGGGCATTTCAAAACCGGTTTAAACTTTCCATTGGAGTGTGAATGCCTCAGGGCCAGGCTGGAGATGTTTCTTCAAATCAAGCTCCCATGTAGACTGGATCGGATGACCTCTGATGCTTTCTGTTTTCTTAATGCCTCTCTGCTGCAGGCTCCCTGGTGTTTATATTGAAACCTGCCTAGGGTAAATGCGGTCTCCATGCCTAAAAGAGAGCGTGCCTTTCCTGAGCTGTTGAGCTTCAGGCACTCCAGGAGGCGAGCGGGAGGACACTCCTAGCAAGTATTGTCCAGGAGAACATCACGGGTGCTAGCTGCTCTGTGCAGGGGTTCTTAAGACTCCCAATTTGGTGACCCCAGAGTGTGGCTGCCAGCACTTGCTGGTGGTTGCGTTCCCACCTTTTTCCTAAAATATTTAATTAGTGTTTGTAAAGACAAATATGCCCACGTGCACGTCAAAATCGTTGGCATTTAGTTCTCGCTGGCTAGTCTGTTGTGAAACGTGATGCACAAATATTGTTTTTCACAGAAGAGTTACTCGGCTCTACTAAGTCTGGGGACAAACTACTCCCTGCATGGGAGTTCGGGGGAAGACGTGGGGGGCTGTAGCCTGAAACCTTGTGGCTGGAGAACAAAGCCCAAAGCTGGTGCATGATGGCAGGGCCCAGGCTCCTAGAGTCGGGGAATGGAGCCAAAATCCCCACGGTCAGAGCCCAGCACCCCAGGCTGACATCCAAAGCCCGAGTCCCACCGCCCTTAGGGAAGTGGGGAGTCACTGACTACCAGCTCCTCCAGTGCTGTGCCCAGCAGCCTGTGCCTGCAAGAAAAGGCTGCATTTGAGAAATGCTGCTCTACGCAGTGCCTGGCCAGGCAATGGTTTGTCTAACTTGTCTACATTCAGCCTCCCCCTCCCACTCCATCCCACGTGACTCATTTGCTAAAGCACAGGCCCGTTCCAAACTCCCAGTGATGGTGAACCACGTGCTCCCTCCAATGCTGTCTCTGTTTTGTCCAAACCCATCAGGCTATCTACTCCTGGATCTGGCAAAGGAGACTGGATTCCCAGGGGCTCTCTTGCATCTGTTCTAGCAGAGATGCAGCAGGTGACCCTAAAACTCTGTTCAGGTCAATGCAGATGATTGAAACGCAGGCTCTCTTGGCCTTAGATCATGACTATTCCACAGCCCAATATTTGCTGGCATGCTAACGTTTATGGATTTCTGCGCTTTTGTTGTTGTTGTTAATAGTAACACTAATCCTCCGAGTGTCGTACTTGCGATGCAGTGGGACTAGGCAGTCTGTCGCTGCTGGACAGCAGTTCATCTGATTGTATTCCATCACCACATTTCTACCCTTCTCCTCCCCCCGCAGATCCTCCGCTCATCACCTATAAACATTTGTCTCAGGATTTTTTTCATGGCTTCTGTGTTTAGCCTAGTGATGTGCATATTTGTTGGAACTTGACTATAATATTAAGCAGTGTCTTGGCCTTGGTGATGCTCCATCGTATGCTGAAATTCCTGAAACTTCCAGTCGCTGTGGCCAGACTGAAGTTCTTTTGCTATAAAATACCACAGTTAAATTAGTTAGTCCTGCATGGGATACAAAATTTGGTATCTGCAACTGCAAAAATGAGCTGCGGATATCTGTAGCCACATCTGCAGGATATAAAGAGGATATCCACGGATTCCTGGGGCTGTCACTACGGTGATTTTTCCCCCTCTCCCCTCCTTGGGGGGAAAGCACCTACATTTTTGGGTGCCTAGCCTAAGATACCTTATAGTGTTGGAAGGCCTGAGTCCTCATTTTCTTTCAAGATGCCTTGGTCAAGTACCCCAAAATGGAAGCACCCCAAATCAGTTAATCTTGAAAATGTTAAGCCATGTTAAGTGCAACATGCAAGGTCTGAAGCTGTGACTGTCTTTAGGGATGTGGCTGCTATAGATGCCTCTTGCCAGTTAATGAAAACTCTGTCCCACTTCATCCACTCCATTAATGTTCCTCTTAATGTGTTGGCAGGGAGCAGTAGCTGTCTCTGGGTCCAAAGTCAGAGGCCGGTCCCTTGGCTAGTGGGGCCAAAACAACCTATTGCTTTTCCCCGTCTTTCTGCATTTCAGGCTGTACGTGTCTGTAGACTGGTGCACGCTGAGCTCTCATTGATTTCGTGTAGAGTTCAGTGCCCAGCATCTGAACTCGCCTGGCCCTGGTTGTTGAGAGCCTCACAAAGCGTTTCCTGCCTGTGGTGAAACAGCCTCCAGTCTGTTGGCCTATCCGCCACAAACAGAAATTTGTTCCTCACCTGAATCACTGTATTTCCCTTGGAAGTTACTGGGAGGGGTTAGGAAGAAACTAGCCTGTTCAGAGCCTGCTGCCACCATAGTGAACCCTGTGAGATGTGTCGGTGCCCAACAGCGTGGGACTTCTGGACAAGCTAGAGCGGAGAGGCTCTCGAGGAAATGGTTACAGCATATTTGCCTGCACAAAGGATTAGCTCTGTAGATCTCCTAGGTAGAACAGCTGTGTACAGGGCATTACTCAAGACAGACGGATGTCAGTGGAAAGGGAGGGGTGTTACAACATGAATTAAGCAAGCCAGCACTTTCTTTCCTAGATGCAATTGTTTTAGGCTTTATTTTCTTTGTCTTCTGTTGCTTAACGTGCTCCATTTTCTCTGAAGGGAAGGCCCTTTTTAAAAACGGGTTTTTTAGCTAATATTTGTGCAGTTGTTTTGGACATCGAAAGCAATGAAGTTTATGTATCCCACCATCCTCCAGTCTCATAGAATCTGAGCATCTCCCAGGACTTTGATAGATTTATCCTCCCAACCACCTATGAGATGATGCAGTGCTACCTTCCCCATTGGTACTGAGGCTAAGTGAGTGTCCCAAGGTCACGCAGTCTGTGGCGGATTGGAGATTTGCACTGATCTCTCCTAAACCTAGGTTAGTGCCCAAACCACTAGTCTAGCCTGCTTCTCCCTCCGTATTACTCTGTCTCCATCTGTGTGGAAATGGCTAAGTGTGAATATTGAGCGGGAGGGCAATAACTTATATAGGAATTATTACAAGCCAGTCAATACTAGTGTTTTTGGCAATGTTTACGTAGTTGGAGTAGCCAGAGAAACAACCGGTGCGTCCTAGGTGTTTCCATACCCAGTTGTATGGATCTGGCTGTCAAACAGCTGTAAGGGCTAAGCCTTTTGATTGTTTGGATGAAGATCAACTGGATAAGATTCAGTGACAATCTTCAACTTCTAGCTCCATTGATCCCAGAAGGAAATTGAGGAACAGGGCTTAACCTAGTGGGCTTAGTTCTGCAAGCTATTTTCTGGAGAAGGCCTTGCTCGGGAGGGCTGGATTCCTTGTCCACTGTCTGATACTGTCTGATAGTAGGTATAAAGCACGTGTTGTATGCTCAGACCGTATGTCGTCTTTGTGTGCTGGAGACCCCGTCTCTTCTATGTAGAATTTGTCTATGCAAAGAGGTGTTTTTTTGTGTTTTTGTTTTAAATAACTAGTTATTTGTGGGGGCACAACTTGAGTCACCTCTTAAATCGTGGTGATTTTTTTCGTTCTTTCCTACAGACAGACATCAGGTGCTCAGCACCTCCTGAAAATCAGGCCCCTTTTAGGCATCTCTTGTTGGGTGCATCAAATTAAAATTCACTATTGAAAATATAGATGATAGCAATTGGAATATATTTAGGCGTTTGACATTATTAATGAGTCGCTGTCCAGAAGAATTGACAGACTTAATGGAGACAAGATAATCTGTTGGGTTTTTTTCCAGGGGGGGGGAATGAAAAG